ATTAGGTCTGTTCTAGAAGATATCGACAGCAAATTAATTTTAAAAGAGGAACAGAGAAACGCGATCAAGGCTCATCTTCTTATTCTAGGCGTGAAACTGCACGCTTTGATTTTTGTTAACTATGCGTCGCTTAACATACGTCACGCACTCCGCTGCTCTGATTGGTTGTAGGTCTATCCAATTGAGTGCAGCTCTATGGAGCAGCATCAGACTCATTCTGACTAGAATTGAGTAGGACCACGTCAGGCTACTGGTTCTGGGCTCTGACGGCCCGCCGGGTCAGAACCGGGCCAGACATAAACCCAGAAACTCAACAAGTTCTTGGTTTTTTTCAACCCGGTTCTGATCCGTTCTAATGTGACTGAGGGAAAGGCTCACCTTGACTTGCAGAACGTTCTGCTCCTCCAGAACTCAGCGAGTCCAGCACCTGATCGGCCTTTTGGATCAGCGCCTCCATCCTGTTACCGGGCAGCAGAGCCAGCGACCCGGTTCTACCTCTGAACCAAGCCGCCGGCTCGTCAGAACCCGTCCCTCCTGCAGCCATGGCAGAAATCTGCTGGGCCAGCTGGAGCCTCAGAGCCCGGAGCGTCTCCTCACCTCCGACCTGAACAGAACATTTGAAGACCGGATCAGAACCATCTGAGCTTCAGCATCAGCAGCAGCTCCAACATCTCAGAACCTCTCCATCCTCCGGCCCACCTGTCTGGGTCCAGCCTGTGGTTCCTCAGCCTCCGTCCAGCCTGGATCTTCACCTCCTGGAACATCTGAGGAAACAGGAAGAGGCGCTAGGTTCTGGACCGGTTCTACTGGAGACACAGACCATCTAAACCCCCTAGATCCCCTCATATGGACCCAAAACATCCCTGAGATCCTCTGGAAGGTCAGATGGTACCGAGACAAAACCAGATGGGAGCCGAAACGGGCCTTGATGGATTTATTCCCTCCTGTGGCTCCATGAGTTCTCAGAGTGTTTTTCCGTGTGTTCTCTTTGTGTTCTCCGCATGTTCTCCGTTCTTTTATACACTTCGGGTGAAGAAAATGGAGCAAACCGCTCTAAACGCCATGTGATGTCACTGCGTGCCTCATTCCAGGGAAATCTAGCGTTTGCTTGCCAACGCAGCACACTGCATTTCTACGGTAAAAAAGGCTTTTGGTGGTTTGATGGAAATTGTTTGTGTTCTTTGCTTTGCGTTGCTTTTCAGACGCCAGCAGGATTCAACCGAAAGAGGAAGTGGAATCATTGTGATCTCATCACGCCTGCATGTGTCAGAAATGTCCTGAGATTAGACCTATAGACTGCCGGAGATAGGCTCCGCCCCCCATCGCAACCCTGACAAGGACCTAGTGGGAGAAGATGGATCCATCACTCTTTCTCCTTCCATTTCCTGTGAGGTCTCCTGGCGCCACCTTGTGGCCGCAGGCTGCTTTGGAAACCAGCTGTAGTTCTGCATCAGGAACAGAGGCTGAGGCGTGAGGAGGGAATAAGAACCTTCATCCATGTTCGGCTTAATGAACCGGTTCTGTCCGGTTTGGAGCTCCTTTAAAGCAGCTATGAAGAATCTTCAGATGTTTGAAGGTGTTCTGGAACCAGCTGAACCAGGTTCTACTAACTAGTTGGGCAGTAGGGTTCATACCTGGCTGGTCCCGCAGCTCCGGGTCGTCGACGCTGCAGTGCCGCACCCAGGCCGGGTACTGCAGGTCCGGCAGGCTGCTGATCTCAGAACCGTCCATGTGGGCCTTGTTGCTGGTCAACCAGTGGGGGAGGTGGAGATCTGCAGCTGTCAGAGGAGACTGAGGAGACAAGTACGGTTAGGACAGAAACTCTGAACCCAGAGGAGCATCAATGAGCCCAGGAGAACACCTACAGAACCTCTGTCCACCGACGGGTCCGACTCCGGTTCTCCTCTGTGCCTGGAGGACAGGGCATAGAAAAGACAAGCAAAGGATCACCTGACCAGTTCTGACCAGTTCTGATCTGTTCTGACCAGTTCTGACCAGTTCTGACCAGTTCTGACCAGTTCTGACTTGTTCTGACCTGTTCTGTTTGAACAAGAATACCAGAACCGACCCGTTTAGTTCAAAGCCGGATCCAGTTCAGAAAAAACAGAACCATGAGAAACAAGGAAGTGGATCAAGATCCTGGACCGGACTGGAACAGGTTCTCCTCTATGGACCAACTCCTGTTCCATCCATCATCCATCCATCCATCCATCATCCAACCAACCATCATCCATCCATCCATCCATCCATC